AAGGGTCGGTGCACCTTGTGTAGTTTCCTCGTGTATGTCAGATAAAGGAAAGTGGCACGGCTAATGTTAAATATACATTGGTTTCATTTCACTGCTGCGTTGGTTTAGTCTTGCTGCCACTTTTAGTTCCAGCAGAAGTCGACTTCAGACCTGTTTAAGCCCGAGCTGAAAACACGAGCAGCTCTCTGTGGTCGTACTTGTGCGGTCTGCAGCTACTGCTGGCGTTCATGTTTGTTTGATCGACAAAGCTGTGACGTCCACGTGACCTCACAGTGGAGACTTGTCTGTGACTCTCCTCACTCTTTGAGAGGCAGCGTTTGATGCTGCAGCTTAAATATTTTAACATCATCCAAAAGCAGCTCTGAGATGTCACCTTAGGGTGAAACTACGGCAGATGTTTTTCACTTTGGACCAGGGATGCTGCTGGTGACCAGGAAGCATTCAGGCATCAAGTTAAACTTGAAAACCAACCTTTAAACCATTTTCCACATTCTTGCTGCTTCACTGCGCAGCTCCTCACATCCTGCATCATCAACATCACACGTTATACTAAAATATGATATGAAAGTGTGAAAACGGCTTAACTTATTATTCAAATATACCAAATATAGATCTGAGAAGTCCAAAATATTGATAAATCCTCCATCCATTTGCTCCCACTTATTTTGAAGTTGGATCTTGGGTGCAGCAGGAAGCCCAGACTTCCCTCTGGGCCCTCCTCCTCCAGGGAAACATCGTCTAGGCCAGTCGATAGGTGTAGTCTCTCCAGCGTCTCCTCCCAGTAGGACGTGCTGGGTCTGAACACCGCTGTCTCCTCCTGATGTGGAGGAGTAGCAACTGTACTGTGAGCTCCTCCTGACTGAACTCCCTCACTGATAGAGAGCTTATCTCATTCTGATAGTGTTAACAACAATATCAGCCTGTTTACAGATTAGTTTTTTAAACAACGCCATCTGGTGGCAGATGTCTGCATAACATTTAGGACAATAATTGACCAGCATTGGGCATCAAATTTAAATTTTAACAGTTAGATTAAACGACGCGTAAGAACAGCAACGAGCAACTGAGTAGTCGTGTAGTCGCACACATCCCCACTTTGGACATTTGTCGTGTCCAAGAAAACACGAGGTGGTTAAAAAGCTTCAACTCAACAAATGCAAATGGAGAAAATGTAATGAAGGAAGCTTTGATTTCATCTGAAGCATTTAAATCAAACTTGTTTCAGCTCAGAGATGCATTCTGTATTCATTAACAGTGCCAAACTGCTCTTCCTGCAGATGTGCATGGACTCTGAGAAGCACATGATCTACACGTTTGGGGGTCGGATCCTGACGTGTAACGGAAGCGTGGACGACAGCCGGACGTCGGAGCCGCAGTTCAGCGGCCTGTACGCCTACCACTGCCAGCTGGGGACGTGGAGCCTCCTGCGGGAGGACTCGTGCAACGCTGGCCCAGAGGATGTTCAGTCCCGTATCGGGCACTGCATGCTCTTCCACACTGTGAGTGCGTCATCGGATCTGTTTCTGAGGATAATCCCGTCGGCGACTGACTTTAATGTCGGCCATTATTTCTGTTTCTTCGCCAGAGGAACCGCTGCCTCTATGTGTTTGGTGGTCAGAGGTCAAAGACGTACCTCAATGATTTCTTCAGTTACGATGTGGATGGAGATCACGTAGAAATCATATCTGATGGCACCAAGAAAGACTCTGGGATGGGTAAGAACATGTCATATTGGACGATGAGGTCCTGCACACAGGGAGGGACGACACAGAGCTATCATAACAACACATACAGGTGGCCTGTAATCAGTCATTTTTTGGTAGCGTATTTTCAGACATTTTTTTACACTGCCGGGTTTCAAAAGTGGTGATTTGGATTTTAGTGGAGTCCCTCATCAGTCACCAAGTGTCAGTGACGTCACATTTTCAGCTCGACTCACCTGAACAACGTAGCTGGTACCATCACTTACTGAGAAACCCTGAAAACCAAGTTGAGCCTAGGTACTGTTGGAAAGGGGCATTAGCTGTTTTCTTTGAGAGGAATCACAGGTCCTGTCTTCAGGGCAGTGCTCCACTTTAATCGTATGTTAAGGGTTTGTCCCAACCCTGAAAACGAGGCGCTACTGAACACATCCCTGGAAACAAATATCACCCTTTTATTAAATTGAGCTAACTAGCTCGCTAGCTTCAGATCTGAAACATATTGATACATTCTTACTAAAAACCTACAGCTGTGTTTGAGAGCGCTCCTCTCGTGGTAGACATTCATTTGCACTTTTGTGGTAGCTGCCTCGTAGACTCAGCTACATGAATAATGTGATAAAATGATCGAGGCTAACAGATCCTGTGAGCTATCAGAACAGAGATGACGATCGTCTGGTTAAGGAGCTCCACCGCTCTTCAGACACTTCCTGCCAGATTGACTAAAATGTCTGCTACAGTCTGAGCTTCACCTCAGAGCCAGTATAAATAGACCTTTGTCTACCCAGCACTTACTTCTGTCTTACCCTGCTGGAGCATCATCAAATCTGTTTGATTTGATGATGCACAGGAAAGAAAAATGTGAGCAGGAAAGAACCGAAAAGATTTGATTATGAAGCCAAACACGTCTCATGTTGATGTGAGCTCAGCACTGAAACACCAGCTTGTCCTGTTGTGCTGACTGGAAACTGTGGACTATATAAAAGATGTCGTTTGCAAGGTGAAGCATTCAGTTCTTGAAGTTGTTTTTTGTTTGTTTGGTTGGGGTTTTTGAGGGCGGTGCAGGCAGGTGGTTTGTGTGTTTGCTGATGTTTGCTGAGCTGATAGAAACATTTACAATGACCTGACAAACAGAATACGTCACTCCCTTCATGCACGCTCCTCTTCAGTATCACCAGCTAGCTGAACTGCAGTCACAACATGTGCACATCTGCACTTCTTCCAGTGTTGTGTCAAAGATACGTACCAAAACACCAAAGCGGCCGACCCCTGACTGTGACTCTTCATCTGTGTTGATGTGACATCTGCTGCTGATTCGTACCTGAACACACCTGCCTTTCATAAGGCCCAGAGGCCTGAAAGAAGTCCAGTCAAAGTATATGAGCCTGTTTAAGGAGTACAAAGTACAGATATGTGTTTAAGGAGTAAAAGTATAAATAACTTATATTATTACCACTCATTGACCCAGTATTGGCTCCTCTCACAGAGCTTTACAGTCTGTTGCTCTGTCGGAAACATCATTAATAATTCATTAAACACATTGGTTGAGTTTCACACATTTAAATGCACTGGTAGTTTTCCAGAAATGAAATCAGCACATCACCACAGCATGAGTCAGCTGAGTGCTGAGCTGTCAGCAGCTTATTATGAATGTCATGCCCATCGTGTGAACAGTTGCTGCTGTGAGCTGAGCTGTGGCTGCTGGACATTTAGCATGCGCTGCATTAGACTGACCTGCCAGCGTGTGAACTTTTTGTTGTAGCTGACCCAGAACTCCACATCTGTGGTTTTAATTGAATTCCTGATTTTATTAAACGGCGCAGAATGAAGATGTAAACAACGTGTGCTTCAGGCCTGCAGGCAGACTCGAGCTCCTCGTTTAGGATTTCATATCATAAACCGTGCACAGTTCCTCCTGTGCATGCTTCAGGTGCATGCTCCTGTGCATGATTAGATCTCTGCAGATCTAATCATTGATCTGCAGAGACCCCGCCCCCGTGCTTTTTTTAACCTGGCTCGATCCTTGAACCCGCCGTAATCGTAGAAGATCAACAGTGTGTGTTGGGATGTGTGATCACACCGAGCTGCATTTGCATGCTGTTCATTGTTTCTTTCTGTGTCAGTCCTTGTTGCCATGGTGCTCGTTGCTATGTTGTCGAGTAGTTTTCTTTGACAGCCCCTAACGCTGCCGCTTTCTTTCATTTTGCTATTATCAGCATGAAATCCTGACCTGATTGAGCTCAATCAGACCTGCAGGAGAAGTAAATGTGTTTCTCTTTGCTCCTCTTGTGTACGCAGTGCCGATGACGGGCTTCACCCAGAGAGCCACCATCGACCCTGAGCTCAACGAGATCCACGTCCTGTCCGGCCTCAGCAAAGACAAGGACAAACGCGAGGAAAATGTGCGCAACTCCTTCTGGATCTACGACATCGCCCGCAACAACTGGTAGGAGACGGAGAGATAAACACTCGCTTCGTCCTGCTAAAAACTTCCTCTGATCGTAACCACAACAACACTCACAGGAAGTACTTTCACACACCAGCTCTTTGTAGCCAAGATGTTCACCACAACACACAGCAGAGCATGCATGCAAACACTACTCGCGTGCGCTTCACACTCAACGTTTCTATACACATGTCAGCACTGTAGAGAATTTAACGACCACACACA